CGAAGAGCGATCTACTCGAAGTTTTGAAGCAAGAGTGGGCGAAAATCCCACAATCTAAAATTGATCTACTAGATATTAATTAAATTATAAATATATCAATTCAGGTGAATGTGACTGAAAAATTTAATTTTTAATTTATTTGGGAATAAATAGTATATTTATGTATGCCAACACTTCTTACAATGTCAGTAGTCATCATAAACACACACACACACACACACACACACACACACATATATATATATATATATATATATAGACAGAAATCAGAAAGGTGACAATGTCAACAATAGTAAATTTTACTGGCAGATATGATGGAGTCTGCCTTAGTGCTTCTATCATAAGTTAGAATAATAATTAGAAATTAAAGTAACAGCTTTGAAGTTTATAAAGTTTTCTTTATCTACATTGTTTAGTTTGAGAGTGTATCTTCTTCAAAATTAGATAATTTGTGTTCTCTATTTCAGGTAAACTTAATGATTTATTGGTCACAAGATTAACTAGTTGCCACTGCATTGTCATACTGGATAACTTTCTTGTGAATTCTGAGGGGAGAAAAGGAATTAAAAACCTAGAAGAAATGGTTTCAAGTATTCTAAATGCAGGTATGAAGAGTTAAGTCTTTATTGTAAAATAATTGGAAGAATTTTAAAAACTTTAATTCACTTTAACATTTATTTAAATTTCTTTTAAAAACACGTTTCCAAAATGTACAAATTGAATATTTTTTTGTGTATGAAAAAATATGAAGCTCTATTATAGTTTTGTTTTTGTAATACAAAACTTTTAGAGGCATTGTTCTAGAATTATAGTTACAATTCAGCAAAGGAAAAAAATACTTAAGAACAACAAATACTTCTGTTAACCCTTTTGCATCAGTTAGATCAAAGTGTGCATGCCACAACCTTTCATAGAGTTACATTCAAAATTTAATTAAACTACTTTAACATATATATATACGAATAAATTTGGCATAGTTAATAAATTAAATTTTAATATTAATTAAGTTTTAAGTTCTTAGTTTTTATACGGAAATATTTGAAAAACTCGCTCTCCCCTAGTACGAGAACTGTGATGTTTGTTGTTTGCATCTTCCCTCTTCTTTAACTTGTTTACCATGCCTCTGAGAAGTTTGGAATTCAACATAAATTACTCATCATAATATAGTTATTGTTCAAGCAAAACATAATTTTTCTAAACTCCAATCTTATTCGATTGCAGAGCCATAAACTAGAAAATGAGACCACTCCTGCCTGGTCCACCTGCCACATCCTCTCTCTCACAAATTCCCAGTAATTCTCTCTAAAGTTTAATATTATTTTTAACCAATAGAAAGCCAGAGTTTTAATCTATCAAGCGATGTATTATATTACATTGTTTTCTGGACAGATAATTATCAGTTTCACTTCCAATTAAAGCTTGATTTTCATGGGAAAGACATTGATGAGCTTTGTTGAATTTCTAAAGGTTCTTGTTGCATAGTTAGAATAATTGTGATAGTTATGGGACATATTCTGCTTTTGGCATGTTATTATTCTCTGTTCTTTGGAGCATTATTTAATTAAGTGAAAAATTATTTATTGCAGTATTACCATTAGTATAAAAAAATAAATAGTAGTGTTAAGTGTGATTGACAGTTGACAGCAAAAAGAAGACAACCCAGGTGAGTACTTTAATTCTTATTTTTTATGTGTATTATTTATTTGTTATTATAAAAGTAATTAAAATGTAAAAATTAGAAACTTTTTAGGTTAGATTAGCTAAAATAAAGAATAATAAGAATAAAATTATTTCACAGGGTATGCTTGTGAACATCTGGCTAGTAGCCCATGCATACATAATTTGATAGGGTAACAGGAGCTGCATGTTCTCCAAGTAATTTAAAATTTTATGAGGGGAATATTAGTTTAGACATGGTTCAAAGAGCAATAAACAATAAAATTTAAGTATAAGCAGATGTATACTGTTACAATATTTAATCTATTTAGGATAAACAAATCAAGTTTCATGATAAAATTTGAAGTCATTCCAGAAAGAAAACAAGGGAAATTTAGATTTATTTCAATTTCTTTTTTAAAGAAAAATTTATGAAATATAAAGTTCTTCTGAAGAAAAAACATTTGATACTTATTTAGGAGATTTAAGGGGTTATGCAAATGAAATTTGAAAATTTTCAGATGAAAGAAAGTATAATTAAACAAAGTTTTAGTAAAAATACTTAATTCAAAATACTTAAAAGTTTACTGAAAGCTTGCCAAATTTTGTGAAGATACAGTAAGTACTTTCAGAGTTATAGTATGTATACCACTATGGTAGTTACGAGGTGCTGCAAAATACATCCACCTGTTGCGAAAGGGTTAAACATCACTGGATTGATAAGAAAGATGTTTATGCATGTAAGTTACTTTGTTAAACTGGATATTTATAGTTGAAAATATAATTATTTTTTGATTAGATGTTATTGTACATTTATATTTTTGTGTGTCAATGTGCTACTGTAGGTTAGCCAAAACAATTATTATAGTAGGTCTTGGATTTTGATTAATGCATTTTTAATGGATGTTTTTCCAAGAGCATAAATTTTTTTTTCTTTTTCAACAAGAGCATGTGTCATATTTCCAGGCCCCTCAGCAGCACAGTGGTATGTCTGCAGACTTACAATGCTAGAATCTGGGTTTCGATACCTTGGTGGGCGGAGCCCAGATAGCCTATTGTGTAGCTTTGTGCTTAATTACAAACAAACATATTTCCAGTTAGATAAACATTCATGTAATTCAAACTATAAAAGAAATACCCTGCACATAATAATAAAAAACTTTTTATGAAAAAATTTCCAAAATACAAGATTACGACAAAGAACTTCAAGAAAAGATTTTCATATGTATTTCTTTCATTTCCCATTTATTAGCAAAAATATCAAGCAGATGTACATTTTTAACTATGCTCTGTATGTTATATCCACATAGCTTCTACAAAGAGTATCAGCTCTTACATATTTTTAAGAGATTTTAAACTTTTTAAATAATGAAATGGTACACTTATGTCATGAAACTGATTACAATATTGATATATAATGTCTCCTTGTTGGTAATTTTAGAGTTAATTGTATAATCTTTTATTTTGAAAGAATTATGGTACTTAATTTATTAGCAGAATTGCTAGTTTGTTTTTTCAGTTTTGTTTATAAGCCTCTTTTTTTCTTTTTTATAATATTTTTTTTTTCATTTATTCATATAATATACTGTAACTGGGTCATCCCATGTTTTTGGCATATCATGCACATGATTTTATGTGGAATTTTAATAAAGAACTCTATAATTCGTAGGTAAACATAATGAAGTCACAGAAAAAAAGCAACTGCATTTTTTTGTGACAAGTAGCTGCCTGAGGTATGTTTATATTTCAGTTCTATGTTTAATTTTTATCATGTAAAAGAAAAAAGGAAAGTTAATTGTAAATAAAAGTACATCTTTATAATAAACAGTTTGACCATTTTCGAACTTGCACTCAATTAGAGCAGCTAATCTAGTTTTACATATTTGATAAAGTCTGCCTTACCAGTAAACAATTTTTATAAGTATTTGCTTACAATGCTTTCTAGCAATTTGTATTATAAGTAAACATTTAGTATTCAGGTTCACTGATGTCAAACAGGCAAATATCAAGTTTTGCAATAAACAGGAGATTCAGGAAATGTTTTTTTAAAGAATGAATTAAACATGACAGCGAGAGGATGAAGACTCAAACATGTATAAATAAAAAAAATTAAAAAAATTATTTCTTATGTGCAAACATTAAAGTATGCTGGGTTATTACTATTACTGGTTGGCTTCTTAACTACTTTGACCAGTCTGACTGTTGAAACAGAGAGTTGGAAAGTATAAAATTATCTGCACTTTACAATGTGTGTCTGTAACAATATTTAGTCAAACAATAGCCATAGTTCATTATTCCATAATTATCTACATTATCAACAACCATTTCCACTATAAACTTGTGCAAATCTTTACACCATTTATTCTGTTGGGTGTGAATCACACCCCAGGGAAGTAATGAAACAGAAACATGGCTAAGAAAATATAAACTCCATTGAACAACCACTGTGGTATTTAACCCTAACTAAGGGCAAAGATTAATGCAGGTTTAGGAATTTTCGTAAAAAAGTCTGCTAAAAACAGAACACCTGAACGAAAACTTGTGTATTTAAATAAATTTATTATTTTCTAAGTTGAGAAAGGGTAAAATATTTCACTTTTCCAACTACTTTATACATATATGGTAAAAAATGCTTCATTCTGCCATTTTAGCAAAGATTCTTTCTAGTGAGAAATAAAGAATAATATAACTTTGCAAGTTATTTTTCATGCATTGTTTAACTTAATATCACTGGTAAACACTTTATGCATAAAACCATGAGCTTAAGTGTACTGAATTTCCATGCGTAATGACATAACATTCCCTGGTAAATTTAACATTATAATTACACAATTTGCTAGCAGTGAATTATTTCAACTTTATGCACTTTCATCCTTAACCATAAGTTTTGTCCCAGACTGAGCAACTTTACCTTGAGTTCATGTCAGCAGGAACTTGTATAGTTAATCATCTTGACCAATACCTAATGTAAATTTTAATGTTCTTCTCTGATTGAGAATTAACAATCCTACAGTAATCTTAGTGTTTTCAAACCCCACAATAGCCTAATTGAGAGCATAAGCACGTCTAATTGTAATATGAATATTTCTTAAAGAATGAACACATTTTTAATGTATCAAGTAACTTTTCAATTTTAACTTCTGCTGTTTTTGTTATCCAGTTTTGTTTTCTTTGAATATGTTATAAAACTTAAAATTTAATTACTCATTACCAAAAATGCTATACAGGATTCATATCAATTTTCAGCTATCCCAATGAATTGTAAAAGTTGTCTTTAACCTGATAACAATGATGTGCTTCAGACTTGAACATGTTACGTAACTGTCATTAAATTTCTTTCCAATAATAAAACTAGTGGATAAAATTATTTAAAACTTGACAAGAACTTTCATAAAAGTATGTAGTTTGAGAAAAATAAAATATTTAATTTTGATTTTTTCTATTATTTCTACCAAAAATTTTTTTATTTAATGTAGTTACTTGCACTCTGAATAGTTCACCTGGAAGGTGATTTTCATGTTAATTATAAAAATACTGTTTTTCTGTCTTACAGTTTTCATATTTCACTTTCATAATCACTAGAACCTCCTTAATGATTATCAAAAGTTTTTTAAGGTAAATGTTTATATTTTATAAGCTATTTTCTCTATAACATCACTAACTCTAGCTATTATCATCAATATACAGTGTAATGAAATGTTAGAAATTAAGAAATGGAAATATATACATTCCTTTTAATTCTTCATTAAATAATCTTAAAATATCTTCTTTGGGTCATATGCATAATTTCACATCTTTACATTTTCACTTAGTTTATTTTCAATGTTTTGTTTTCCTTTCGTTTTCTTTTTATCTTTGATTATTTATGTCGACATACATCAACAGGTGCCCGTGGGCAACATAACCTTAATATTGCCAGAGATGGTTTAGTCCCCAAAAGAACGGTGGCTGCACTCGCTAACTTTAGCGAATGCTTGTTGATCAAGCCAAAGCATTGAATAAATTTTGAAAATCATTAAAACTTTCAAGTATGAATTTTAAAACAATAATAATACATAATTGATTAAAATATAAAAGTAAAACCAAAATGCAATCTAACTGTCTACCAAACTAATATTTATAAGGTGAGGAAAACATAGCTAAGTACTAGGGATCCCACTCTCAACAATGGACTAAACTTTATTTTGTCTCATTTGTAAATGGATATATAGGTCTACATTTACTGTTAATTCGGCAAAATTTCAATGAGAAACCTGTTGTTTCTATTGGTTATAAGCATTCCGTTCAACTTAACTGTCACTTAGCAACACAGATTCTACTTTAGAAGTGGGCATGGCTTATCTTGAAATGAAAGAATTTTTACGATGTTTTCCTCAGGCGCACGTTCTTGGAATTTGACTCAGTTATTCATAAACAAGCTGTATAATTGTACTTTGAACATCTGCAAGAACATGTCTACATTACACACACTTGTTTTTTGTATATCAGCTCTGAAGTTCAGGTCATCAAGTGACAATAAACCGAAATAAAGGAATAAAAACTGAGATAATATAAAACTGTGAATTATAACATACTTGATAATAATAATTTTATTAAAATACATTGATAGTAAAGTCATTTAAATAAATTTTGAATGTAATTCAGTAGCATGTGCAGAAAGGGTTTTAAAAATTGCTTCAACTTTAAAATTAATTGTTAGTGATGCCTTTGATAAAACCTAGTATAAGAATCAAACTGATTTTAGTTAAAATTCAGTGCACTCTGAAAATATTTTTTTTCAGGATATTTATTCACTGTCCATGGTTTAAAAGTTCATTATTTAGTCTTTCTTTTTCATTTTTCCAGTAGGTGATTAAAGTTATCTGGTAATCACCAAATAAGAACTTTAAAAGACTTGTATAATGATCAGAAGGTACAGTTGTACTTAATTTAATCTTTATCATGCTTGTAGTTCTTTTTATGTGATTAGCATCATTTAGTAGACAGAGAATATCATGAAGAAATTTAATTAGTGGTGGTAATATTTGCAGTATGTTCCCAGAAGAGTTGAATTTTGAGCAATTTCCTGCTTGGAAAGTATTGTTTCTATAATAAAGAGTGGACAAACATAATTTCATAATCCTGTCAGTTTGAAAGAATAAGAATTGGTAATATTTCATTTATTTAATGATATTTTTTACATTTAAAAAAAACAATTTATCAACTTCTTTATTCTTTTTTGGCAGTTTAACTGGAGAAAAAGAAGGGTTTTTTAAATTTGTCAATCTCCTTGATGGAAAAGGAACATTTTGCTCTCTTGTTGATCGAAACTTGAGGAGACAACTTATACACCACCAGTTCCAGTCTCATGCATCCAAAATCTCTTCTGGTCAACAGAGGGCAGCATTGTGGGTTATAGCTGTCTGGAATCAACTGAACTCGTTTCTAGCAAAGGTTGGACTTGCTGAATTGAAGTTTGGCCCCTTTTTATTCACATCATGTCCACTGACTGGCTCACAGCCAACAACAGTTGCCAAGTAAGATTGTGTTTCGTCTTGGAGTTACATTTTTTTTTTTTTTTGAGGCTGACAATGAGTAGAAATTTATTATCTAGCTCTACAACAGTTATGTTAATTCCTTAGTTTATCATCTGTTTTCTTAAGGCAATACTGAGGTAGAAACTACCTTGTTTATAAGACAGCCCATCTGCACTTTACCAGCAGGTAAGATTGCCACATTCACACACTAGTAATACTGCAGTTAAGATTCTTATTGGGATTGCTTTTAAGGTTAGTTATTAACCCTATCACACCAGGTACCATTTACTATAGATGACACAAAACTTTATTAAACCACTTTTTATTTATCTTATACCAATTGGAATAGCATAAAATCTTAGCTAATAATCCATATTTTAATAGTATGCAAGTTTTAAGTTCTTAATTCTACAAGGCAATATTTAAAAAAATCCTGAATTTCCACTAGTGTGACACATTTTCTCTTAGCATGTCATCGTCCCTATTTTATTTACCACCCCTTGAAAAATCACTAAATTAAACGTAAATTATTCTCTATAAAATAGTTATTGCTCAGACAAACCATATTTTTTATAGTCTTCAATGTTGTTTGGTTACAGAGCTATCGAATAGAAAATCAGACCCCTCCTGTCACATGCTCTCTTTCAGAATTTGTTGATAGTTCTCTTTTACATTTGATTATATATTACTTATAACCAGTAGAAAGTCAAGGTTTTCATCTGTCAAATGGCTTATTGTATAACCTTGTATTCTGAACAGAATATCGTCACTTTCACTCAAAGTACAAGATCCATTTCTGTGGGAAAGTTAATGACTAGCTTGGATGAATTAGTAACAGCTCTTCTTGCATAGTTAGAAAGCCAGAAAAATTTTGAGAGTTAGGGGAAATTTGTCTACTTTTTTTAATGTTATTATTCTATATTTTTTGGTGCATTATTTAATTAAATAAAAATGATTAAGTGCATTACTATAACTACTATAAAAAATCAAGCTTATCTGTCCTCATCGGTTGAGGGCAAGAAAAAAGAAGACTGGGTAAATACTTTTTATTTCTTGTTTTTCATATTTATTCTTTATTTATTATTATAAAACTGACTAAAATCTAAAAATACAGATAAGTAATAAATAAGTAATAATAATAATAATATAATTGAAATGGTTCATAAGGCACACAGGCTAGCATCTCGTGAATAATGTAATTCAATAGTGTAACGTGAGCTGCATGTTCCCTGAGTGATTTACAACTTATAATTTAATTGTATCAGTTTATCAATGTTGATTCAAAAATGAAATAATTTTCTGACTGGCTGTTAAATCACTTCTTTTTCTGCTGTAAAAAGTAAATGATTTGAGCATGCTGAGATTGAGAAATCAATACTGTCATTTTCACCATAAAAAGCAAACAATCAAATATGTAAGTAAACATTCCTATGTTAATAATGCAGTTGTCATTAACTCTCTCAACATGGACTCTGTCAAATTGACCGACCATGTGACCTCTTTGTACTTGTTTAAAGTCTATAGTTTTGATACTACTAACATTTAATATGGTAAGTATATCTTCACAAAATATGGCAGACTTTTAATAAACATTATAAGTGTTTCATATACAAAAAAAACATACTTTTTAGTGAAGTGTTTTTTAGTAAACTAAAAGAAATTTGTCCGTGAATATATCAAGTATTTTTTTTTACTAGTCTGTGTGCAAAGTGATTTTTATGTTAAAATTTAAAATACTTCATCTCAAAAATCTCAAATTTCACTTGCATAATCTCTAAAACCTCCTAAATATATTTCAAATGTTTGTTTTCAGTGAAACTTTATATTTTATATGTTATTTTCTCTACCCTAATTCTATACAACGTCAGTCAAATATGACTGACCTTGTAACTACCAAAAAAAAAAGTTAATAAATCTAAATTACCCTTTTTTTATTCTAGAATGACTTCAAATTGTAACATGAAACTACATTCACGTATCCTAAGTAGCTTTAAACTTGTTACAGTATACATCTATTTATACTTAAATTTTATTCTTTGAACCATGTCTAACTACTACTATTCATTATAAGTTGTAAATTATTTGGAGGAACGTGCAGCTCATGTTACACTATTGAATTACATTGCCCACGAGTTACTCCAAGTTGCTTGTATGCATGCCTTGTGAAACATTTTTATTATATTATTATTTATTTTACCTAATATAACCTTAACTAACCTAAAGAGATCCCTATTTTTGCATTTTAGCTACTTTCATAATAATAAATAAAGTACTTAACTGGATCTTCTTTTTTTTTTCTTTCTTTTCTTTTGCTGTCAATTGTCGATGACACTTGACCCTATCTTTTTTATACTAAATGTAGTAATGCACTAAATAATTTTTATTTAATTAAATATTGCACCAAAAAACATAGAATAATAACATGCAAAAAGCAGACAACTTCCCCTAACTATTACAATTTTTCTGGCTTTCTAACTATGCGACAAGACCCGTTACAGTTCATCCAAGCTAGTTCTTATCTTTCCCATGGGAACGAAGCTTGTAGTTACAGAGAACATGATAATTCTTTGTTCAGAAAACAATGTAATGTAATACATCATTTGATGGATGAAAACCTTGGCCTGCTATTGGTTATACATAATATAGTATTAAAACTAAGAGAGAACTATTAACAAATCCTGAAAGACAAGATGTGACAAATGGGTGTGGCAGGAGGGGTCTAATTTTCTATTTGATGGCTCTGTAACCAAACAAGATTGAAGGCTATAAAAATTATGGTTTGTCTCAGTAATGATGAATGTATAGTAAGTAATTTACGTTAAATTTTGTACATATACACCTGGAAAAAAGTTAAGCACCCCCGTGTTTTTTCAAGTGATTCAGATTCGACGCTCATGTGACTGATTATAAATTACCATTCAATCTAAACGTGTTTATCAAATGAAATTATGCATTATTGGGCACAAGAAAACAAGATTATCACCGTAAAATAATTTTTAATTTTACATATCATGACATCAAAATAATGGACAGTTTTCACGCTTAAAATTATCTTTATAAGTATTGT